AAGGCTGCTAGTAACGCAGGAGGAAAACAGCCTATGCGGAGCGGGTGAGGGAGAAGGCTCTAAGGAACGCAGGATCTATTTTGCTATCTGGGTCCTGGCGGACGTGGGGAAGGGAGCCTGACCTTTTCCCTTTCCTTGAGCGCAACTTTTGAGATCCCTCCCCAAAACGCAGCTCCTTCTTCTTCAGGCAAAAGGACTCGAGAAACGCTCCAGTAAAAGGCGCCAAATGTCCGAGCAGTCACCGAGCAGGCTCTCTTTCCGCGGACTTTGGCAGTGACACAGGCTCATCACTCGCTTCCCCCACTTGGCTGAAAGAGTTCATTTCCTGGGTCAGCACATTGCACCGACCAGAGGAGTTGAATTCACATGGGTACGTTAATTACCCCAAGACCTGACCCAGGAAAACCCTTTCCGTAAGCCGGATAAGCCAGTGATGAGCATGTCGCTGCCAAGTCCGCGGGGAAGTGGCATCGAGGCGGGCGGCAGTCGCTGCCCCTGCACGCTCCTCTCCGGGCCGCTTGACCCTTCTTTCTGACGGCGCCGCCTCAGGCCTCGCCTCGCCAGGCACCTTGCAACTCCCAAAGGCGGCCCCAGGTCGTCCTGTGCAATGAAAGCTGGCGGAGAGGCTCGGGGGCCCAGCGTCCCCTCTTCAGCCGCCTCCTTCCCAGGGCAGCCCAGCTTCTTTTTCGGGAAGCGCCGGCCCTTGGCTGGAGCTGCCCGAGGGCGACCGGGGAGCAACGCCACCCTTCGCCGGCTTTTATTGTAAATGCCGGCACCAAGGAGCCAGAACCCCCGCTGTCGGTTGCCAATCCTGGTCGTCTGCTGCGCGACACCGGCAGGACCACGCAGCAGCCCCAGGCAGCCTCGCTCTTCCTCGGGCAGTAGTTTTACTCGGGGCGGGAAGCCTGGCGGAGCCTACGAAGTGTCCTTCGGAGCGCGCCTGGTAAGGAGCGGATTAGGCGACAGGAATGTTGCTCTGTATGTATTTTCCCCGGACTCTCCAGTTCTTGCTTCCCCGGGCGCAGTGAGGTAAGCCATTAGTCGCATTGCACTAAGACATCACTTGACTCGTTTGGTTTTAGGCCCTCGGATTATCAGTAAACTTTGGTTAATGATATGATACTCCCGTTATCTACTATTTAACACACTGAATTAAAGGATGGCTTCATGTGTTGTGAGCCCGACTGGATTTAGGTACAGTAGTAAAACATGTTTTGCTTAGCAGTGGTTTATATTGTTACATGTTGGGTGAACCAGATATAAAAAGGCCACTGAGGTAAAAAAAAATATTTACCCGGGAGTAGATCCCATCTCAAGGCAGTGAATTGCAGATCCTGGGGGGGGGGGGGATGGAGGTGAGGAATCTTTCCACAGAAAGGCAGGTGCTGATTGCAGAAGAGGTGAGGGTGAAATGATGGATAGTTTAGCCAGGTAGACAGCTGTTGATTCCACCTTAATAACGCAGGCTGCCCGGAAGTCTGATACCAAAGGAAGATTAGGAGATCTCTTTCTCTAACTTTGGGCATTAGAAAAAGAGGATGCCTTAGCAGCAGTAATATTTCTGTCCCTTGAATACTGCAAGTAGTTGTGGAATGAGGGCTGGCGATTTTCTGCAAGGTTTCTGAGGCTGATCTGGAGACACCTTTCCAAATTCCTGTCCTCTTCTGAGATGGTGGTTCCTGCTGTACCTTGAAACGCCATATACAAAAATAGCCTTGGAAGAGAGTGGAGGGGGCATTGATTTGTTTTTCAATTTAACTGTACAGCTTATATGCTATATTAAAAGGTGAAAAGAATTCTGAAGTGATGTACCGTACCATGCAAAAATGTTAGCCAGTTGTGCAAGAAAGCTGTAAATTAAGAATGCTTTCAGAAATAAAAATGTTAATTTATTTTTATCAATTAACAAAATGGAAAGTAAATAAGAGTAATCAAAATCAAAATTTGGTGTGACCACCCTTTACCTTCAAAACAGCGTAAATTCTTACAGTTGCATGAAGTCAGGGCTTTTGTAGGATGAGAGTTAGGTGTATAATGAACCATGATTATACCAAGCAGGTGCTAATAATCAATTTCATCTGCAGGTTGAAACAGTCAACTGAAACAGAAACAGCTGTGTAGGGGTTTAAAACTGAGTGAGGAACAGCCAAACATTGCTCTAAAGTGAGATTGTGGAAGACAGTTTCATGTCACAGGTCATACACCATGACCAAACTGAGTACAGAAACAAGACAAAGATAGTTATATTGTGATGCAAGGTCTCTCCCAGGCAAAGATTTCAAAGCACACTGGGGTTTCAAGCTATGCTGTTCAAGCTCTTTTGAAGAAGCACAAAGAAATAGGCAACACTGAAGACTGTGTAGACACATGGGTCAGCCAAAGAAAAGTAATGCAGTAGATGAAAGACACATCATGTGTATTTCCCTTTGACATAAGATGTCCACCAGTTGCCATCAGCACAGAACTGATGCAAACCAGTGGGGCCCAGTTATACCCATCAATTGTGCAGAGAAGCCTGGCCAGAAGTGGTCTTCATGGAAGAATTGTGCCCAATAAACCATACCTCTGATGTGGAAACAAGACTAAGTGACATAACTATGCACAAAAAGATAGGAACTGGGGTACAGAAAAATGGCAGCAGGTGCTCTGGACTGAGGAGTCAAAATTTGAAATATTTGGCTGTAACAGGAGGCAGTTCACCAAGTTTGGGCTGCATTTCTACAAATGGAGATTTGGTCAGGATCAATGATGTTCTCAATGCTGAGAAATACAGGCAGATACTTATCAATCACCATTAGAGTTGTTTGAGAACTGTGGAACTGGTATTTAACATATAGCTCTCTGGCAATGTGCATTTCAGTGGCAACACTTCAGGGCCATCTCTGAACTAGTAGGCATCTCATCGGTGGAGTGAGCAACCAGCAGTGCTTTGAAACTCAGTTGTTCCAGTATAGTGGAGACCGGCTGGAAGTGGCTTGCCCCACAGACACAAAGAGAGGTTCTACAGTGGAGTTTAAAGGAGTCACCTTCCAAATCCATGGGGATTTGGAAAAGAAAGATTTGAGGAGAATTGTGGCCAATCAAGGGACAGTGGGCATAATAATTGGGGCTGCTTAAAAGGAGAGTTAAGAGCTGGGAACCTGTGAGGTTTGCTCCTAGGATGACAGCCTTGGTAGGTGACTACTGTGTGGGTAATTGTTTGTATACCCCATGTTGAGTAGGATCTGGGTGGAGAGTTTTGCATCAGTGGTCCTCCTCCTCAGTGAGAGGGATTAGTGGGGAAGGTGTGCTTGTTGTGAGGTGGGGTTGGAGAGGCGGTGTTCTTGGTGCTGAGATCTTTTGCTATAACACCATGGGGACTCCCTCCCTCACTGACCACCCCCAGGATGTCTGGGACTATGAATGTGCCCTTGGCTCTTCAAGGAAGGGGATTGGAGGGGAAGAATAGTTTATCTTGAGGAATGTAGGGTAGAATCACAGTGGTGACAGGCAGGGGGATGCTATGGGGGCCAGAGGGCAGGCCGTTTCAGGGAAGATACCCCCAATGTGAAATATTGATGGTGTGTTCCGGCCTACTGAACTCATCCCCAGTCCTTAGACAGCATACCCCTCTCCCCGAGACCCTGAGGTTCAACTGCTGCTGCTGAATGCCAAGTCCATTAATAATATAGCTCTTGTTTAAGATCTTATTGAGGAGCGAGCTAATGAGTACATTACAGAAGGGGGGGGGTATCCCCTATTAAAAGATGTGTCCAGCTGGTTTTCAGGTTTTGCACTAGCCAAGGCCCCAGGGCAGGGGAGGTCTGCCACTTGCTGTAATAATCCTGGGGGCTTTCCTGGCCTTTTCTTCATGGCTGCACAAATGGCACAACTCTTGACATAGCCCTCAATGTCTTTTTTTCATTTTCGGCCACCAAAACTGCCTTTGAGCAAAATGCAAGGTTTTCAAGTAACCGAAGTGCCCGGCCTTTTTAGAGTCGTGGCTTTGTTGGAGGACTTAGAGAGGTAGGCTTGCGGGGAAGTATAATTTTGAGCCTTTCCAGGCTAGTCCTTGTCTTAGGATCAGTGCCTCCTTGTTGTCCCTGTACCAGGATCAGCTGGCGGTTCCTTTTTCAGTCTTTGGGTCATACCGTCCCCTTCTGTGGTTTTCTGTCACCTGGCCTGGCCACAGATCATGGCTTTGTGAGGCAGGCTGGGGGGAGGAATCATGGCATGGACCACTTCTTCGTGTTTGCTGTCATATTGTGGTTTACATGACACAACATCTGCCAAGAGGTTTTTCCCTCCAGGAATGTACTTGAGCTTGAAGTCGAACCATTTGAAATACTGGGCTTGCGGACTTGGGGAAAGTCTGCGCGGGGTTTTTAACACATCAGGGTTTTTATGGTCAGTCCACACTTCAAGCGGGATATGGCTGCTCTTAAGAAAGTGTCTCCAGGCCAGCAGGGGCCATCAGACTATGTAGGCTTCTTTTTCCCATACCACCCACCTCCTCTCAGTCTCTTGTCAGTTTTTTGGAGGTGTAAGCACAGGGTTTCAGGTTCCTGTCTGCGTTTCTTTGGAGTAGGATGGCCACAATGGCCATGTTGCTGGTTTCAGCCTGGATGATGAAGGCTGTTCTGGGTCAGGCTGCTTAAGGGGTGGCTCTTGGGCAAACAGGGCCTTCAGCACCTCTAAAGCCCACTGGCATTTAAAGTCCAATTTAGGGGATAGGGCTCGATTGTTGCAGACCCTCCCCCACGTCTTTGACAGTTCAGTGATTGGCAAGGCGATCTCTGCGCAAGAGTGGATGAATTGTTGGTAGAAGTTAGCAAACTCCAAGAAGCTCTGTAGCTCTTTATGGGTGCATGGGGGTTGCCAATCTAGGACCACTTTAAGTTTAGCAGGGTTCATCTCAACTTCCTCGCTTGACACTCGGTAGCCCAGATAGCCCAGGCTTGAGTTGTAGAATTTGCATTTTGACAGCTTAGCCTATAGTTTAGCCACAAGGAGTTTTTTCAGGACTTGTCGCACTAGTTTGATATGCTTCTCTGGGGTTTCAGTGAAGATGAGAATGTCATCTCAAGCACACTAGAACTCCTTTATATAGGTGCTCATGCAGCACTTCATTTATTAGCTGTATAAAGACACCCCCCAGAAATCCGAAGAAATTGGAAATTGGAAGCTGTCTAGGGGACAGTGGAAGGCAGTCTTCTAGTAATTGCCTCATTTTATTCGCACTCTGTTGTATGCTTCCCAAGCTTGGTGAATATCTTTCCCTTTGCTATGTGGGCTAGCATGTCCTTCATGAAGGGGCAAAGGGTGTTTTCCACGCACACTACATTAATTCCTTATAATCTCATTGACCCATCTTCTTTTTGAAGAACTGGGGCGGCCACTCTGGATTTTGCAGATTGTATAAATCCTCGGGCCAGGTTAGTGTCGATGTAGTCCCTTAGTTCAGCCATCTTCCTTGGGGTCATGGAATACATCTTCGGTTTGGGTAGGTTAGTCCCAGGCACAAAGTTTATGGCGCATACTGTGGGGCGATGAGGTGGGAGGGCGCTGCATTCTTCCTCACTAAAAACTTCCACCAGGTCCCGCACTCTCTGGAGATTTGGGGCCTTCCCAGCAGTGCCTCCATGGTGGCGGCTGTCTTTTTTTACTTTCAAGTGGCTTGGCTTTTTTCCCCCCTGCAAAATTGGGTGGGGAGCGGGGACCTAGTGCTAGCTTTAATTTCCAGTAACAGTCTTCCCGAGAGATAGTCGGATCCTATTTGTTTAGCCAACCCAGCCCCGGAATGATTCTTCTGTCACAACGGGAGGCTGATTAAGCAGCGGGTGCAGCCCATATCAATGATGGCCTCTACTTCCCCTTGGGCTCCTGTCCTGGGCACTACTAGTCTTGATTTAATAGTGAATGGACAGATGGCTCCACTTACCAGTGGGTCATCCTTGCTTTCGTCACTGCTGTCTCCAGCTACGGTGGTGGTGTCTCTTGAGCTGGAGTTCCCCCGCCTTCGATAGGAGGGGAGACCTCAGTGTCTCGTT